TATTATATTATTAACTTTCGGGCAATACTTTCCTTTCGGAAGCTATGTTTATGCATACTCTCGTACAATTGATTTTACTGAATATATATATATATATATATTTTTTTTTTTTCTTACAATCTTCCAGTGTGTAATTTCGTATTATTGAATATTGTTGCGTTTTTAAATTTCATCACGATACGACAGCCGATCTACAAGACCTTTAATAAATCGACAAGATTTTTTTATTACCATAATATCGTACCCTCTTTTTTTCTTCCTTAATAAGAAGCTAAAAGCATGAAACGAATATTGTAGTGACGATGACTCCGCAAAAGTGAAAAATTTTAACCTGTACGATTGTTTGAAAAAAAAAAAAATAAATCAAATAAAAGTTTGTGAAAGCTATGGGGACGAAAGATTGGCAGGTGTTGTATCGATTGGCATCATACTGTTACACGAGCTAGACAATACCGATCAATTCAACAGTGAACGAACACAATCAGGCTATCGAAAAATATTTGTAAAAAAAACTGATTGATCAATATGTTTCCAGATAATCGGTGACCACTCGGTGACAATAAACGAGACCACCTACACGGACGGCGACGAGAACGGGGGCACCATCTTCCGGGTGCGCGTGGTCGACGTCAAGCCGCTCAACGACACGACCGCGACGGACAACATCGGCAACCCGACCATCGGCAACAACGAGTCCTCGACCGAGTTGCCCACGACCAACAGCGACAGCGACGAGGACAACGACAGCAACAAGCGCGAGGAGCTGACCACCCAAGCAACTCGCAGCGTCGAGACCGTCGAGGAGCTCGACAACGAGATCAACAACAAAAACAACGCCAAGAACCAAATTGAGACGCTCAATGCTTGAATTGAAAATTTTTTTTTATTCATATAGTTTTTTTTTTTTTTTTTTTTTTTTTTGATAATCCAAGGTGTTGATTTTTCGGGAGGGGATATCTGTCGGAAGTTCACCCGATTGCTGCGATGAAAAGGAATTCTGAGGATTGATGGAAATACATTTTTTTAAACTATGGAGTTCTTTGGGACGATATGGTGAATTTCCGGTAGATTACTACTTAATGGCAAAGGGCTCATTTCAGCCGATGCGATGAACCTTTGTGCATTACTTGAGGTTGTGATGGCTTTTTTTCTCATTTTTATTTCAATTGTCTAAGCCATTTTTTTATTATTTTTTTTTTTTTTCGGAGCTTCGAGGGATCCCCCTCGATCATCGAGGGGAGAAGCTACAGTATAGGAGCGACAATCACGCCGGACATTCTTTGATCGGGAATTACGCGACTCGTCATTCAATTAACTCGCCTGAACGAGGAGGAGAATCCGCTCCTTTGTTTTTTTTCTTACGCATCCTCTGTCAGAAGGGAAAATTAACATCGTGAAAGCGCGTATACTTGACAGGGCTGTCGAACGAACGAATCGTCACTGCGCGATGACAAAAATGATAAAGCTAACGTCTCGGACCATTTAGATCTAGAGCTACAGGCGCTACGAATACGAAAGAGGATTAAGTGTGCGTTGGGAAAACTTGGTTTTTTTTTTTTTCATCGCGGGGATTTCCAGCATTTCTTTTTTTTCAAACAGTTCGGCACGACACCATACACACGCATATAGTAATTGATGGCGCGCGCGCGCGGGAGCACCCACGTATTATACATAACACACGTTGAGTTATTGTATAGGCGCGCGTGCTCCGCAACGTTCCCACGAGTAGACGCGAAGGCATCTCCGAAAGGTCAAAGTACAGAACCTGTCCCCCTTTTGTATTACATATGTATACCTCCCGCCCTTCGGCGCGTCACCCCTAGGATATATTATGTGTATATATGGCTATGTGCGGCCCAAAACAAATGCCGTTGGATGAAGCGGAGCTATTTGACTTAACGCATCGTCGCTTTCGATTAATGGACCCTTTTTTTCTAACGATCTCAACTACTTTTTGTTTAAAGTTCAAAAGTCACGAGAAACCACGACAACTGGCACTGAACGTACTTAAAAAAAAAATCTCGCAACATTTATAAGATTATACGTACATTGAACGGCACGTGCAGGCGAGTGGGAACGTACAGGGGAACACGATTGATTGATAACGTTATCGGGCAAAATCGTTGATCGGCAAAAGTGAGATTTAAAAAAAGTAAAGGATCACCAAAAGAAAAAAAAAAAAAAAAAAGACAGGCAAGACCAGATTGTCCTAGCCAGTCGTGCG